TAATCTGGATCCGCACAAAGCATGTGGACCTGATGGACCTCTGTAACAGTCATTTAGAAATGTGCTATTTAACTGGCTTTTGTTCTCTCTAAACTCTACAATAAATACCCGACTGCTTGCTTTCCTGCTTGTCGGAAATCCTATCCTGTAGTCCCAGTCTTTATAAATTCAGGTGAACGGTCTGAACCATTTAACTATTGACCTATTAGACGTCTGCTACTTTTGGCAAACTCCTAGAGTCCCTAATCAACTCTGAATTGGTTAAGCATCTCACACCACAGGAACTTCTTTGAGGCAAGCAGTAAAGCTTTCGCTTTTCCAGGTCAACTGTTGATGTACTCACCGTTATTACTGAAAGAATCTATCATGCATTACATAAGAATAGTATAGCTCGGACTCTTTGTACATCTCGAAAGCATTCGACAGAGTTTGGCATACCGGACTTTCTTATCAAATAACGATTGAAAATTGTCCTGAACGGATGTTCTTCTAGATGTTTTTTAATGTATTAAGGCAAGTATCCCACAAGGCTCTATCCTTGTACTTACTTTGTTCATAATTTTCACCAGTGACTTTCCTGATGGCATCATTTCTCAACTCGGTATCTATGCTGATAACACAAGTATTAAATCCTTTTTCAATAGTAAGTCTAATCGGTTCAATGAGATCAAATTGTTAGCCTATCTCAAGAATGACCTACGGTCTATTGTTAACTGTAACAAGGAATGTCCTTTAATTTTTAATTTTAACGCCACCAAAACGAAACTTTCTGCTATTGATCATCTGAGAGAGCCGTTTTTGCCTTCCATCAGCGTGGCTGATGCTAACCTCCAGATGCTTTCTCGGCTTACATTCTTTGCTGACATGAAGTGGAAATGTTATATTGAATCAATTGTTAGATCCGCTGCTAAAAAAGTTGGTTCACTGTGTTGTGCTACATAATTTTTCTCATCAGAATCTATCTTACATATTTATAAGTCTACCATTCGTGATGCTTTTAATATTACTGCAACATATAGTCAGGTGCTCCTGGTATATATTTAGATATTCTTGATAACCAACAAACCTGTCTCTTAATACTCTGCTTAGCTTTTGGAATGCATCTTTGGCTATCCCAAAGTGCCTTCGACTTTCCGTCCTCTGCTAAAACACTTCAGTCGCAATATATCAGGTTGTTAATTTGTTGTCTCTGTGTCTAAACAATTAACTACTTTCTTTATGGTTTTACTACTTCAGCATTTGCGTGAAATTTTACGACGTCTGTATTCTACGCATATTCAATTACGCTATGATATTTTCGTTTTTAAAAAAAACAATTGTTCAGCTTCCAAATTAGCAATGAGGCAAAACCCAAAATTTTTGTTTAGAATATAATAAGATCGTGCGATATAATATATTTTTGAAATTATCTATTTGTAACTCAAAATCTAAAGGGTTTTTATTGATTTCGTTTTTCCTATATTTTTTATTTAATTTTTTTTGACGCAAGCACATATACAAATGACATTTATTGGTTCCAGTAAGGCATTATAATGTATCCGAGTGAATACAGCGCCTCTCTCTTGCCTATGTTTAAATTACTATTCGTATAATAATTTCATTTATTTTTTGGTTTTGTTCAATTTTATAGATTTAATTTTTGATATTAACGATAATTTTTATCAAAATAACGATGAAATTAAAATGAATTTAACAAATAAAATTGTCAAAAAGATCTTCGACCAACATATTCTTAAAAATATGATGTTTGGATATCTGATCGAAGTTTAATAATTCAAAGTGTCCGAAAACAGTTCACCACTCGTCAGATACCGATCTCTATCTATAAAAGGCAGAATGTGTGTTTTTGTATGTGTGTGTAACGAATGCACGGCCGCAATTTTCGATGGATTTGCACCAAAATTTACATGCACATGCTCCAAGTTAGCGGGAAGGCCAAGACTGACTTTGCATTTCCCACCTGCCATCGATAGTGGAAATAATCGATTTTTCCATGCTTCTACGGCACTTTTCATGTAGTTTGCGGCAATTTTCTCCTGGCCATAGTAAGAGCCAATAGCTGGCTGCCACGAATAGGCAGAAACATTCTACTGGCCAGCGTGAGAGCCAACAGCTGACTGACGCGAATGTTAACTAGCATGCTAGCATGCAAAAAAATCGATAGCTGCATTCATCACAAGTGGGAAAAATTTAAATCTGCATGGCACTTTACTCCAATTGGCTCATTCGCTTGCTTAAACTCAACGTTGATTCTGATTGTTGTTAACATTCTTTTTTCATTCGGTTTTTCCAGTTACGAGTCCTTTTTTATAGCTGATCGTTTTGTGTTCATTTTGTTTAGTTCTTTTTTCATAACAGATTTAATGTTTAGTATAGAGCTTAGAAAAAATCGCAGTGTGAGATAGGCAAGAAGTAAGGCATGTAGCAGCATCAGCACGGAAAAGGGCACTCCTTTAAAGGCAAGGAAGGGAAAAAATATTTTAAGTCAGGTGATAGCGATTGCTGTATGTGTCGTACGATTTTTGAATCAAGCACGGGCAACGCCGGGCCATACTGCTAGTGTTTTATATAATTAAAAAAATTATATTCATTTTCATTTCTAACTAAATTCATATATTATTTTGTTGTCTGTCAATTTGTCCATTTGAACCTCTCATATTTAGCAACTAGACCCTTCATAAAATTGGGAAGAAATTATTTTGTTATTTTTAATTCAAAACAATCACATAAGAACCTGTAAAATCTATTAAATAATTAAAGAGATACTCGTTTATGAAAAGAAAATAACGCAAATGGTGACTAATCAATTGACTCCACGACTGTTTTTAATTATTAATCTTCTTTCATGTGCCGTGTCCTTTCAGGACGTGAACGATCATAACCCTCCATGACTTCTTACTCTGCGTAGAGCTTAGGAAATTCTCTCTTTTTAGTATTACACCGATTCCCAGTTCTTCCATCCGTTTACACAACCTTTCTACGTAGGTTATTCGCTGTTTCCCCCTTATTTTCATTATGGCTTGTGAGTGTCAAATTTTCCAAGCCTTCTTTCCTCGTTATATGACCCATAAATTTCAGCTGTTTCCTTCTGATTCTAATTATATACACTTTCTTTCTATATTCCTCGTTACTCAAATGCTTCGACCAGCATTCGTCATTCTTCTCCATTGTCACACGCCTCCTCCTCACTTGTGAGGAAATTGTCTTGCATTCACTGCCATATAGGAGGATTGATAGTTATATTGAGTGCTAGATCCGTTGGTTCACTGTGTCGTGCTAGGTAATTTTTCTCCTCAGAATCTATCTTACATATTTATAAGTCTACTATTCGTGATGCTTTTAATATTACTGCAACATATAGTCAGGTGCTCCGACTATATATTTAGAGATTCTTGATAAAACCCCAAAACGAATCTGCAATGTTATTGGTCTTGACCTGGCATCCGTAATGTAGTTTCTCTGTGCCTTTTCTATAAATATATTCATGTTAATGGTTCTGAAGAACTTTCCCCTATGTTACCTAGACATTATGAATTTAAGCGCAATACTAGATATAGCAGCCGGGGAGCCAATTGATTAGTCACCATTTGCGTTATTTTCTTTTCATAAACGAGTATCTCTTTAATTATTTAATAGATTTTACAGGTTCTTATGTGATTGTTTTGAATTAAAAATAACAAAATAATTTCTTCCCAATTTTATGAAGGGTCTAGTTGCTAAATATGAGAGGTTCAAATGGACAAATAGACAGACACAAAATAATATATGAATTTAGTTAGAAATGAAAATGAATATAATTTTTTTTAATTATATCTAGCAGCAAGGTCTCACTAATTTACAGTTGAATTGGCTAATACTCTTTCCATCGTTTCTATCGAATTATTCTGTTTCTTAATGTTTTGTTTAATTTTTGGAAGCCGTTTGTAACTATTCAAACGTTTCTTCGGATTTCTGTGTTACATTTTCCCGCTTCTGCTAAAACATTTACCAGATATTTAAATTTTTCTACTCACTTGCTTTTTACATTCTATTTCTTGTAGGTGCCATGCCTCTTCAGAACATAAACGATTATGACTGCCCACAATTTCTCGTCCTTTGTAGCTCTTAGTTTATATTTTTGCTATATCTCCTAAAATCCGTTCTGACAACCATCCGCACAATCTCAATAGGTAGGTTATCTGCTCCTTTCCTCTGTCCGTCTTGTCTTCAATATATCTTGTGAGCATTAAATTTTCTAAGCCATCTTTCCTCATTATGTGCCCTAGAAATTTCAGTTTGTTTCATTCTAATGCTAAGTGCCCTTTTTGTTTCCATTTTCCCTAAAACTTGGTCGTTGTTCACATGTTCAGTCTATGGCATTTTCAGTATCCTTCTGTAGAATCACAATTCTGTTGTTTCAAGTCTTTTAATCTATAACGAAATAGTCCAGCATTCGCTGCCATATAGGAGGATCAATATTACATAATTTGAAAACAACATGAAATTTTCAATTTCTTCAAGTCAAAGAGAATTTGATAGTGAAAAGAAATATTGGTCATTCAAAATAGTAATGACATACTTTTAATTTTTATGCTGGCAGCTTTCTCCTTTCTTTGTCAACTACTTGATTGTAAGTTGCATTTAATAATTCACCCAATTTCTTTGTCATCTTTACCGCTAGTAACAATGCAAAGCAAAAAATAAGATTCTTATGTCGTCAGTTATAATTTATGCAGCTTGTACAGATAAATATATAACGTCTGGGAATAGCACATCTGATGTATAGTGCTACAGAAAAACATGTGCATATTTACAACTTTCAAATTTGAAAACAATTGATAATGATAGTGACCTGACCCAGAGAGATTCTCTTTTGGAAAACAGAATCAAGAAAACTTGCGGGATAATAAGGAACGTACAGAATGTTTTTCTTTTTTTGTTAAGTAACCACTTATCATGGCGTTCTGCAAGAAATAGGGAACTAAATAAATTACCAAAATTTCAAAAGCTGACAAATCTTCATGAAATATTTAGTTTCAAATATTTCACACATAAAAAAGCAAATACTATACCAAATATTATTTTCTTTCTTCTATATTCTCTCACACTGTTGCTGTATATCTATCCCTGCCCGTCTCTCTCTCTATCTCTCTTTATCTCTATCTATATATATCTACTACGTATGTATGTATATGTGTGTGTATATATGATTGTGTGTTCGTGTGTTAGTTCATTTATCTTGTCCTTATTTGTTCAGAGTTTCGCGGTGTTTACATCCACTTGTCAGGAAACGTCAATTTTACAACCAAATCTCGTGTCAAAATAAAGCACAGCGAAACTCTGAGTACGGATAAGATAAGTGAACAGTTATTCCTAATAATACTCTCTCGCCACCTCTCTCTCTCTCCTGATATTGATATTGAACACTATAATAACAAAAACCTACTTGCCTTAGAAACATTATCTTCCAGAAATAACGTGGCGAATACTTTTCTTCTTTTTACTATTTTTTTACACACACAAACACGCACACACACACACACGCACACACACACACTTGTGTGTGTGTGTGTGTGTAGAGGTGGGGGCGTGGATTTCTAAAAATACATGGTGATTATTTTAACTCGAAATTGGATTAACTTAAATACACCATATATTTTGAAAGTGGAATCTATGAACGCTTTTCAGCTTACAGTTGCCGATACGAGTACCTTTATGGGTCTTAACTGATTGCCATCAACTTCCACTTTTATGAAAGTTATCTTTGACAGACAACGAGAAACGTCAAAAGAAAGAAAGTCTGCGTTTCGACAGGAGTTTCACCAAAAGGAATACCGAAAAACGTGCACAGTATAAAGGCAATGTGGTGCATTTGGTGGGAAAGAAGCGGAATAATCCTATGGGAAATCATCTCCAACGCTCACACGTGACTCCATGTATAGTTTTAACTATCACAATGATGTATAAAATCCATGGGCAATAACACATTCTTATTTATCTATTGGGTTGGTGCATAATTATCAGGCGTTTTTCTAGGCAAGCTATTTCTTAATAAAAATTGCTGTTTTGTTTACTTTTTTTTAATAAAAAAAATATTTTATTTTCACATTATAGAAATGCGTGTCGATAATCATACTCATATTTCTCATATTATGCTTTAGCACTTCGAAAAAGGATGGAAAACAGCGTCGTCATTTCGCGATCTCAACAAACTTTTTGGCGAAGGAACAATCGACGAAAGACGATGCAGTGAATGGTTTGCCTGTTTCAAATCTGCCGACACTAGCTTGGAAGATAAGCCATGAAGAGACGGTCAATCATATTTCAACGACCAGGCAGTTCTGGACGCCGTGGAAGACGTGGAAAGACGACGAAAGCTTGACAACTCGAATGCTGGCCGAAGACTTCAATGTGGAACTTTCAACCATCTTTCGTAATCTCAAAAAGACCGGAAATGTATGGAAATTGGCTGGATGGGTCCCTCATGAACTCTCCGACAAAAATAAAGCCGAATTTTCACTGATTTGCTTCAATGAAACGAACATGCTCCCTTTCCGAAGAATCTTGTCATTGATGCTGAATCAAGGCTTCTTTTGATAAACGTCAAAAGAAAGAAGGTCTACGTTTCACCAAAAGGAATACCGAAAAACGTGCACCGTATGAAGGCAATGTGGTATGTTTGGTGTGACAGAATTGGAATCATCCCATGGGAAATCATCTCAAACGGGATTTGTTATTGGTGGAATGACAATGATGAGCGTCATCAGTGGCGGATTCCAGACAAAAACCATCAACCGGCAATTCAACATCAACAACGATTCAACTTGACCGCCTTTACGCGGCAATCAAGACGAAAGAACACGCAAAAAGATCGTCTTTCACGACGATAATGCGCGTCCACATGTTGAGAGTCGTGGTGTTGAATGTATCGCCAATAAAGACTGGGAACTACTTCCACATCCACCATATTCTCCCACAGAAGCGCTTACGGACTAACACATCAATCGATCGTTGAATAATTTGCAGGTGAACAAAGTTCGATTTGGATAACTTGGTGATCGATGTGAAAGCATGGATTGCCTCAAAAACCGACTTCTTTGCCCGTGGAATCGATTGTCTTCCAAGCCAATGGGAAGCAGTTATTGAAGTAGATGCTGAATACCCTCCGGAATAATCATTTAAAAATATTATTGTTAAATTGTTATATTTCTTTTTTTTTATAATAAATATTGTTTAAAAACGCCTGATAATTATGCACCAACCCAATATTTTCAGTTCATTATACTTGTGAACTCAATAATGTCTAAAAATCACCGCAAAAAATATCTTGATTGAAGTAAAAATGGAGAAAATGAATATTTTGTTTTCATTTGAATTGCACTTTCATTTATTTTCTTTATATAAAATATATATTTCATTTAAATGTTATTCTTGCTTGGATTAGTCAGACTCCTGTCTTGGAGAACGTATTAGTATTCCAATAAATGAGCTAATAGAGATTTAGTGAGAAAGTATTTGCGTGTTTACTACCTGGGCCTGGCAGTATGGGTACTTGGACTGAGGAGAAAAGAATAGTACTAAATAAGAACTGGATGAAATATCCATGGACACGGAAAACGGAACGAAAACAATCAAACGTTGTAGATTGAATAATCAGTTCTGTTCAGAATTCTCCGGTTACGCGGATCAATAAGAACCTGATGAAGTATGGAGAGATGAACAGCTGAAACGTTCTGATAACAATAATAAAGATGAGGAAAATTGTCTGTGTTTAAATAATGCAAATAACGATAACTGCAGAAATTAAGACCGAATCTCTGTCTCTCTCTCTATTTTCTCATATATATATATATATATATATATATATATATATATATATATATATATATATATATATATATATATATATATATATATACAGAGAGAGAGATCTAGATAATAGATAGATAGATAGATAGATTGTTCATATATCTAATTTTTCAGATCTATCTAGCAAACTTGTTCAGTTTCCATTGGTCTAGTTTGTTCATATCTATCTATCTATCTATCTATCTATCTATCTATCCTGAATGTTACATCATGAAGAATAGGCTAATATTAATACATCATTAGCATCTAGTTTGTTCATCTCTCAATTTTTCTCTTTCTCTCTAATTCTGTTTCTATATCCATTTTTTTTTAAAATTTAACAACTAGCTATGTTTTTAGGTTGTTTCTATCTATCTATCTATCTATCTATCTATCTATCTATCTATCTATCTATCTATCTATATGTATGCATATATATGTATGTATATGTATATATATATATATATATGTGCATATATATATATATATATATACACATATATGTATACACACACACACACACACACACACACACACACATATATATATATATATATATATATAGGTAGATGTACGTAACGTAATTTTGCAACTGAAAGAGATGCCATTCGACTTTTAATGGGAACCGAATCGAATGATTTGTGATTAACTTTCAAGCTAACACAAATTCAACAGTCAATAAATTTTCGTTTGCAATGTGATCAGAATAAAAATTCGTATATGCCGCAACATAATATTATTTCCAATATCATATATATTTTTGTAAATATGTTCGTTGAAATTTTACCTATTTTGTGCAAGCAATTATCAATGATGTTCGTGCAGTGGCTTAAATACACGTTTTTCAACATACACGTTTTCCATCGACGAAGCTAAGAATTATAGAGTTAATGGTTTTTCAAAATTTTTAATATTATATACACAGACACCCACACAGAATCATTCCCCCATATATATATATATATATAGAGATAGATAGATAGATAAATAGAGAGAGAGAGAGAGAGAGAGAAAGAAAGAGAAAGAAAGAGAGAAGGAGATAGGGACTATGACTCCAGTAAATAATATATTTCATGTAGTATTTATATTGACTATAATCATGTGTGAGTTTTTTACACCTACTGCTGTGTTTTGGGAGTGGGTGGTTGCCCAAAATGCTAATCATCTTGGGATTGATGCGGCCTTGATGCACACGTGCCACTTAAAAATCTATGATCAACCTGAAAAATGATTGCTAAAAGCCTGACAGAGCAGACCTATGGTTTTTGTAGCAGATTTGGCGATCTTGGCGTAAAATTTGATTTACGCACTTTGTTCGACTTTGTTAACTCTTGTAAAGATTGCAGAGCCGTTCCATCAAAACATCACAAAATCAGTGAGACCAATTAGCGTTAACTACGTACACATTTCCATTAAAAGGTACATAGACACTGTAAGCGGTGTCACAAGTTTCTTAGTTGAAATCATTAATCACAATGATACACTCTCCCCCTATATATATATATATATATATATATATATATATAAGATGAATTAAATATATACACGGTGTCCTAACATAATGTATACACTCTTTAAATATTAATAGTTAATAATACATTACCGTGATGCGAGAACTTATATGGATGAAAATGTGCTAAACAGATGGATTGGAAGAAGAGGGACAGTTGAATCCCCATCAAGATCACCAGATTTGACATCCTTGGATTTCTTTTTGTGGGGGTTTCTAAAAGGCAAAGTTTACAGCAGAAAACCTGAAACAATTGCTGAAATGAGAGTAGCAATTGAAGAAGAATGTCCTCAAATACCAGAGGAAATGGTACTGGACGTTTGTAGGTCTATTTCTTCAAGATATGAAAAGTGTATTGAACAGAACGGCAACCAGTTTGAGCAATTGATGTGAACTCATCATTATATGAACATTCCGCCATTGACCCAAATAGCTTTTATCTTATTAAAGTTATTTTTCTATGTTTTTTGTATATTTTACTCTCAAATTCTTTAAATGTGTATTCTTTCTCTTGTAGTAATCTTGTAAATAAGTCAAAATACATAAATTGAATATGTTATAAAGCTTCAAAGTGAGTATACATTATTTTGGGATAACCTTTATATGTATGAATATAGGGTGCGATTGGTAAATTGTTGCCATTTTATATTATTTAGCAGGAGAATCTAGTTATGGCTGTCAGTCAAGTTGTGCGACCGCATAAAACATACATCTGGACACCTAACACCCCAGACTGCAACCCACTTGATTATTGTGTGTAGGGTCCTGTTGAGCGAGAGACTAGCAAACTCCATCTAATACCAACGATGAACTGAAGGTAAGCATTAGCATTCACCAACTTAAACAAGGAGACCATGCAGACGATATGCAAGAGATTTCGAAGTCCTCTGGAGACCTTGGTTGAAGGAAATGACAATTTTATTGAATAAATTTACTATATTAAGTTATTTTTGTGTAATTTTGTTAAATACATCTCTTAAAAGGAAATGCCAGTGTTATTTTGTCAAATGCACATCCATATAACTATCATTGATACTGAGCGCTTTCCAATAAGTACCGCACATATATAATATATAAATAATATATATAACTCTCTCTCTCTTTCACACACACACACACACACACATATATATATATATATATATATATATATACACCACACACACACACACATATATATGCCATGCGATGGGAAACGAAAGTAAGTTTTTTGCTTTATGTATATTTTTTTCTTTTGAAACCAATGGAAAAAGGAAGTGACGTTTCACATACGGCTTGCATAAAAACAGGATCCTTCATAACCATTTTCGATTCTCACCCGTCGAAGTGCAGTTGAAATGCACTGAAACGAAATTGCATCTTTGTAGTGAGTAAAATGATTTTGTCTATATGGTAAAATTATAATATATATATATATATATATATATATATATATATATATATATATATATATATATATATATATATTGAGCAGAAACGTGGCGTTTATTCAAGTTATACAGATTTCAATCTGTATAACTTAAGCATGTTGAAGCATAAATCAAAGGCTAAAATCAAATTACACCTTTTGAAATGTTGAATAATGATTAAATAATTTCTTTCTACCTTTTATTGATGAAAAAATATAATATTTTTCTTTACATATTATTTTACACTGTCGATGATACAAATACATGCAAGAGCAAATTTGTGTGTGCCTAAGGTTTATGCCTATGTGTCTGGGCGTTTATACATGTGTATAAACATTTTAATACCTTTATTTAACTTGATAAACGCAGTGAATAACACAATTTATCAATTACAACAAAAAATAGAACGGAAACGTGTTACACTTCATCGTATAATTATGTTGCTGATTTATTTCGGCTTGCGATTAAAGAATAATGTATAAAGAATAAAGGATACATATTAGAGAATAAGACTAAAGAATAGAAAATAAAAAATAAAGTATAAAGAATAAAGAATAGAGAATAAAGAATAAAGTATAAAAAATAAAGAATAAAGAATAGAGAATAAAGAATAAAGTATAAAGAATAAAGAATAGAGAAAGAAAGAATAAAGCATGAAGAATAAAGAATAGAGAATAAAGAATAAAGTATAAAGAATAAAGAATAGAGAATAAAGAATAAAGTATAAAGAATAACGAATAGAGAATAAAGAATAAAGCATAAAGAATAAAGAATGGAGAATAAAGAATAAAGTATAAAGAATAAAGAATGGAGAATAAAGAATAAAGTATAAAGAATAAAGAAAAGAGAGTAAAGAATAAAGTATAAAGAATAAAGAATAGAGAATAAAGAATACTTATAGGCGTCTTCAGTATTGTTCCATTATCATTTGCTTTAGATACTTTGCAAATGTTTATTTTATTTACAAAACAAAACACAAACAAAAACAGGCAAAAGAAAGAAATTCAACAGCAATGCGTGGATGTTGGTACCTGACGTCTTGAGACGAAGTTCTGTGTAATTTTTTCTCTCTTATTTTACTTGTCATAATCTAAGATCAAACTATCGGATCTCTTTTCTCTGAACCAAAGATAAAGAAACGCTTCTTTTTAATCATTCAGTGTTATTGTTGGTTTACACAAGTCAATATTCAAAATTTTATATTTGATGATGCAAACTTAGGAAATAAAGAAATGAATGCAACTGTATTTCTAAAATGAATTAGAAAATTTCTCTGTCATTAAACAGTGGAAGCCCATGAAATTTTTAACTAAATTAAGACATAATCACAATTTACTGCGCGCGCGAACACACACACACACGCGCACACACACACACACACACACACACACACACACACACACACACACACACACACACACACACACACACACTCACTCAATTATTCTATTTCTTCTAGAAAGATGAACATGAACTCGTTTATTTTTATTGTTATACGTATATACTCACACACAGACACACACAGACATATATATTAGGATATGAATTAAATCTGACATATTTTTTATTTTTACTGCCCTGAATATTCGAGAATATTCAGGCCAGAAGATGTAGTTGGATAAAAAATACTGTTAAATTAAAAAACAAAACAAAAAACAGAGCTTCTACTCGAATATAAGTATCCATAAAAAATAACGTTTAGGCAGAATAAATTAAATATATATACATTTCTTCCTTTCTTTCTTCCTTTCTTCCTTTCTTTCTTTCTCTCTCTCTCTCTATCTATCTCTATATATATATGTGGTAAACACTGAGGTCAACATCGCGTGGTGGCCGCTTGATTGCGTTCATATATGAAATACGGTCGTTGCACGGTTCTGATTGCAGAGTTCACTTTTAAATTTACATAGGCTCTATCAAAGATATTGAGCACTTTTACTCATAAATTTAGCATAACTTAAAATTAATATTTGTTATCTATCTATCTATCTATCTATCTATATATATATATATATATATATATATGAATGTCTATAAAAGAAAGTTATATATATATATATATATATATATATATATAAATTTTGGGAACCAGTTGTAATGATAAATGTATTACTACTAACTAAAATCAAACGTTGCTGTTAATAACAAATTTGTAATAAAATAAAATACCTTAGCGGGAATGACAGCGTAGACAGTGGTTTAAAGGAAAAAAATGTTTTTTTCCCGTGAAAATGCAAAGCCGCATAGAGCAAAAATATCTCAGTAAAGTGTTTGGAACTTGGTTGTCCTGTTCTACCCCCCACCCGACATATTTTACCTGGTCTTACACCAACCAATTATTAACTTTTTCGATTGCTGCAAAATTCTTTTCTAATGAAAAACATATTAAAGAGTTCTTTGAAAACTTTGACACATCAAGTGCTACGGAATTTTACTCAAATGTTATTGAACTGACAGGTGGCAATAAGTCATTGCAAAACATGGTAAATTTATAACTGAATGAAAT